TCATTTCCCTGTTTACTTGTTCAGCTTATGCTCCTGAGGGTGGAGTCCACCTGCCTTCCCTGCCCTAGCATTCTCAGCCTTGGCACCCAGCAGTTTCCAGTGCTTGAGCAGAGGAACAGGTGAAGTTTCCCAGTCATGGGGGTAGGGTGGATTTGGGGGGGGCGGGGAGAGATCTTGTCTGTTCCAGAAACTTCTGGGCAAAGAGTTCAGGGTCTTCAGTTCTCTAAGTTGAAGTCAATTATTTGTGGAGAGATGGTCAGGAAGAGGAAACTTAGGGTCTAGGGCCCCAGGCTTGGTCTGTTCCTTTTGGGAAAAAAAAAGCACCCAGGCAGGGACTGGGAAGAGAGGGGAAGATCGCCCACTCTAATTTCAGAATCACTGCTGGGCCAAGAAGCACAAGGGGGAAGTTCAGGGGACAGACCAGGAGGTGGAGCTTGGTTCAAGGCTGCGGGGGTGGGGCGGGTTGGGGGGGTAGCCAGGACAGGAGCTCTGGCCACTGAAAACCTCAAGCAGAAGTTGCCAATGCCGTATCTCCAAGGTAGTGATTTGGCGGTCATGGGTCTTTGTCTGGAGACACCCCCACCCACCTAATCGCCATGGAGGTGAGGTACCTAGGATCTTGGACCTCCCTGGGGTCCGGACCATTCCTGGACTCTGGGCCAGGGCAGCAGACACACCCACCCTGAAACTGACTTTGGGGAAGTGCCGGCAGCTTCCTCTTCCTGGCGCCTGTAGGCTAGGGTGTCACAGCCCACTGAAGGGGTCTCTGTTCCTCACTCTGCTCAGGACTGTGGCTTGACAGGAACTCAGGACAAGCTGGACACGCTCTGTGGCCTGTGGTGAGCCACAAGGCTGTTCTGGCTCTGGGGTGGGAGACAGCAGTGCCCTGCAGCATTCCAGCTGGGGTGACACTCTCACTGCTGGCTGGCTGTCATCTCCCTTGTTTTATAGTCAAGTCTAGGTGGGGCTGAGCTCATTAGCCCAGCAACAATTCACGTTTCCTCTGGTGCTCAGGCTCTCGCTAAACTACCCTCTGCCCCCAACGTGACCGCCTCCAAAGCGCTCCTGACTTCCTGAGTGTGCAGGCACCTGGTACCTTTGCTGCCTCTCATGGCAGCTGGACAGAAGACACACTCATCCTGGTCCTCAGCTGATTCAGTTATAAACAAGGGGTTTCTCTAACTGAATTTCCCTTAGTCACCCGCCCCCAAGCCCCACTTTTCAGTCCTACCTTTCTCCTTTACATGTGTGGTTCCTCCCTCCTCCTCTAAACATTTTCTAATTTATTCTTTAAAGATTTGTTTATTTTGGTTTTTGGAGAAAGGGTTTCTCTGTACAGCCCTGGCCTTCCTGGAACTCTCTCTGTAGACCAGGCTGGCCTTGAACTCAGAGATCCTCCTGTCTCTGCCTCTGAGTGCTGAGATTAAAGACCGGCGTGTGCCACCACCGCCCTGTTTATTTATTTTATTTTATGGCAAGGAGTGTTTGCCTGCGTGCATGTTTGGGCACTACTTATGTGCAGTGCCTGAGGAGGTCGAAAGAGGACGTCGGATCCCCTGTAACTGGAGCTAAGGATGGTTGTGAGTCGCTGTGTGGGTGCTGAGAACCAAACCCAGGTCCCCTGGAAGAGTAGCAACGCTCCTAAGTGCTGAGCCACCTCTGCTGTCCACCATGCCTCTTTCTTCAATGTTCTCACTGCTCTTCTCCTTTAAGCACTCAGAATAAAGACGGAGAAAGTTCCCTGGACTTCCCAGGCAACGTTAGCTGCATGTATAGTATAAGGCAATTTTTTTTCTTACTTATTGTTGGGGAAGGTCTGAGACAGGGTACCCACTCTATAGCCCAGCCTGGGCTCAGATTTGTTACAGAGCTGAAGATGACCTTAAACTTGGGATCTTCCAGCCTCCACCTCTGCAATGTCGGGGTCACAGCTGGTCTACATTCATTCATCTCTAACAGGAGGAGATCCCAAGTAGGGTAGAGTAGATGTGGGGTAATTTATTAATGTAATTTGACACATGTTTACCTGCTGCCCCATGGAAGACCTAGAAACAGGAGCCTGGGTCAGGAAGACCACCATCAGACTTAGTTCAGTGAGGTGGTTCTCAACCTTTCCAGTGCTGTGACCCTTTAATACAGTTCCTCATGGTGTGGTGACCACCCCCCACCCCGAAGTTCTTTTCTTTGCTGCTGTTATGAATTGTAATGTAAACAGCTGATATAGGACCTATGTGAAAGGGTTGTTTGACCCCCAAAGGGGGTCTCAACACACAGGTTGAGAACCACTGCTCCAGTGGGATATAGCTGGAGATAGGACAGTGGGTGCCAGAGAGACCTATTCCACAGCCAGGAGATTTAAAAAAAAAATGGTTGGGGATGCAGTGACTAATGGGATAGAGGATGACATGGTATAGCAAAGCACCATAGAGCGGTGTCATGGTGGCCCGTTCCTATAATCCCGGCTCTCTGGAAGCAGGAGGATTGCCACAAGCTTCAGGCTAGCCTGATTTGTATAGAGTGAAGTCATCCTGTGAGTGAGGACAATCTCTGTAGGCTCTATAAAAATCACTGTTTTAACAATTTACCCACACTGAAGCATTCTGTGCGCCACATGCAGTCTATTTGACCTGTTTCCTCCCTCAGTCCTATGCATTGGGTATAAAGAGACCCACTTTACTGGTAAGAAAACCAAGATGTAGAAAGTATCTGACTGATACTTGTCCAAAGTAAGACACAGCCAGCAACTTACTTTCCCAGAGTTCTTTCAGGCAATAATTGCTCTACCTCTAGCAAAGTTTGTTTGTTTGTTTGTTTATTTGAGACAGAATCTCTCTTGTAGCCCTGCCTGTCCCTGGAACTCTTTTCCTAGATCAGGCTGGCCTTGAACTCACAGAGATTCACCTGCCTCTGCCTCCTGAGTCCACTACTCCAGACTCCTAGCAAAGTTTAAACCAATGCTTTATCCTCAGGGTACTAGGGAGCTAGAGAAGGTTTGGAAAAAGGGAGTGGTATGATTTCCTTCAGCTGTCCTGCTGGCCACCCCGTGGACGATGCCCTGGAGAAGTCGCAGAGATGGGAGGATGATGTCTCCCTAGAACGGGAGATAATGGGGACAGGGAACACACAGGTTTTAAGGAGGAATTAAGGAGAGGTTAACAGTGTGTATCTGGTGGGACATATCCAGTTCTGGGCAGAATGGGTTTGTGGGAGTCGGAGGTATCTGGCAGAGGCTCCAACATGGGGCTGACAATCAGGAAGATATCAGATAACCATGTGAGCTCTGAACTGATGGAAAGGGAGCAAAGTGACTGGAGTGGCAAGCAGAGGCCTGGCCACAGCTCTGGGGACTCACGCCCAATGAGGGAAGAGCAGCCAAAGCGCTGGAAGCAGCAGTTGCCAGACTCCCGAGGAAGAATACGGGGCTAGGAAGGAATGGCTAGCTGCTGGGAAGGGTGCAAGGGCTGTGAGATCTGGCCCAGGCCTGGAGAAGGCAGTGTCTTCTTGTTCCACCTCCACAGACTGGGGTCTGTATACTGCCCACCTCCCTAGAGTGGGGCCTCCAAGGGGCTGACAGGTTCGTTTGTTGCCTGGCAACTGAGAGAGCTGTTGGCTGTTGCTAGGAGCAAGCTAGGGAGGCCAGAAGAGCAAAGCTCTAAAGCATAGGGCGGGGCAGGCGGCGGGGGCAGGGGCTGGCTTGGAGAGGGATTTGTCTGTCATCTGTGTGTAGTAGAGCGTGATCAGCTGTGTGTGCCCATATTCATGATGGGTTCTGTGGATCTGTCGTGTTGGAGGTAGGTCCTACAGGTGGATGTATAGAGCCTGTCTCCGCCCATAGGTAGCATTATGTGTTTTCATCCTATTTTACGCATACGTGCCTGGGGCGGGCCTGCTTGAGCTTTGGCTTCAGGCAGAAAGATCCCTGAGGGAACCGCTGGACGGTTACAGGCTAATGACTCCTCAGCAGGGAAGACATTCAGATGAGAGCGACACATGGACCAGACAGAGAGAGCAGGCTTTGGTCTGGGGCCGTACAGAACACCTTACTGCATAATGTTTGGAAAACGCTTCAAATATCCAATCAAAGTTGGGGGTCACAGACTCCTTAAAAAAGCAGATCAGAAAGATTTGAAACATCTCCACTTCCACCTCTGCCCAGCCATAGGGTTGCAGCCGCTACCCAGAAGAGACACGGGACTGAGGAAACCTCTAGAGGCTGACAAAGGATGAAAGGGACAAATTGTAAGATCATGGCAACGGTTGTTTCCTTAAGTCCAATGGCAACGTTCTCTTCCTTCTGGCTCTCCTGGTAGAGCCCAGTTTGACTGGTCCCTGGCTGAAGCCCCGGATCACTGCCTGCAGGAGAATGTTTCCCAGCCTCTTAGGTTAGGCAAAAGGACTAAGGTTTAGATGAGAGAAGATAGTCCAGGCAAAGGTGTAAAGACAGCAGTCAACTGTTTTTCCTTTATGGCGTGGTGCAACTTAGAGAAAAAGGTGCCTTAAAGACAACTGAGATCCAGAAAGACATCATTTGCCCTCCTCAGGGCTGAGTTTAGTAGATTCCCCCAAACAAGTTTATGGGTTCACTTCTAGCAAGTGAAGACACACCTCCTCCATCTCACTCTTCTAATTCACAAAAGCTCCGAGTCCTGGTTTCTTTTCGGCCTGTAGCGAGGGTGGCCCGTCCCGACCCTTGGGCTTCCAGATCAACGGGTCCTACAGTCTTGAAACAGAGCCGCAGGCTCTCAGCACCCAATCGGAGCCGAGCTCCGCCTGCTGCCCGCCCAGAGGCCTGAGCCTGTGTGAGCTCTACCCTTCATGCCGTCCCTCGTTGCGGCCCGCTTTCAGCCTTCGCCCAGGCTTGGACTGCGCCTAACTTCTCCCTTTGCTCCGCCCTCTAACCAATCACCATCCCCGAATTCCCTTTGGCCCCACCTTCAGGCCCGCCCCGGCCCAGTCTCGGGCTGGGTTCGCCCGGGCCCCACCCCTGGCCCGCCCCGCCGTCGGTGCGCGGCGGCCGGGAAGGCTCCTCCCGCAGTCGCTCGGAACTGCGGACCCGAGAGCTTCCCGCGGAGGGCCGTCGGTGGGAGCGGAGTGGGTCGGGCGGGGCCGAGCCGGGCCGTGGGCCGTGTGGGGGCCAGGCCGGGCCGGCGGACGGCAGGATGGGCTGCACCGTGAGCGCCGAGGACAAGGCGGCCGCCGAGCGCTCCAAGATGATTGACAAGAACCTGAGGGAGGACGGCGAGAAGGCGGCGCGGGAGGTGAAGTTGCTGCTGTTAGGTGAGGCGGCGCCCCGCTCTGGGACCCCGGACTCTCAGCGCTAATCCCCAGACGAGGACCTGAAACTACGCGGCGTGGGTACTACCTGCAGCTGCGCTTGAAACCCCTAGGACCACCCTTTACGATTGCAAACTCTGGATTGGTCTAGACTTTTAATCCTCGTCCAGACTCTAGTTCAGACCCTCCACTCATCCCAGATCCCAAACCCCCAAACCCAGACAGCAAACCCTGCTTGACTGTGGCCCCTTACTCTCCAGTCTCGGAGAACTCAGCCCCGCCTTGTATTTGCACATTTTCTTAGGCTTTACCCAAACCCTCGGACCCCTACTGGTTCCCACCTTCACGTCCACCTGTTCTGTTTCTGTTGGCACGAGCATTCCTTGGGACCCTTGTCAAGCCCCAACCCACGCCCTCTCTTCCCGAGCCTTACTCCGGAGTCTGTATCCTCTCCCTGGGCACTCTGACCCCTTAAGACGCTCCTAAGGGGGAAACTGACTATGAAGTCCTCTCTAGCTTGAATCCCTGTGGAGCCTCTCTGCCAGGTCACCAGACCTCTCTCTGCAGGCATCAACCCCCAAGTCATCTGCCCCTCTTTGAAATCTTCTCGCACACCCTGGCATGCACTCGATTCTGCCCCTCCTGTACCAGGTGGGCCTTGATGGGGGGCGGGGGAACCAGGGGCTAGAGTGGTTCTAGGCTGAGGTGGGCAGACCCCGCTCCTTCCCAGGAGGCTGGACTGAGTCACGTTGGGGAAGAGGGACCAGGCCTCGAGCATCTGTGGGAAGTTCCATTCCCTGGGAATGTGTCTCCTAGTTTCCAAGGCTCGTCTGGGCCAGGGCCAGGGGAGTCTGGGCAGTAGGAGGGAACATGGAGGAGTTAGGGTTGTTGCCACTTCCAAGGCCAAGGAAGATGGTGGCTGCTGGCATTGCGGGGGGGAAGTGGAAGTTGTGAGACAAGCGACATATTGCTGCCCCTGTGTGACTGAAGAGATCTGCTGACGGGTGCTGGGGTTCTCTCTCACACCCAGGGCTGAAAGGCCTGGCCTGGGGCCTAGGATACCGAGTGGACCTGTTGGTCCCCAGAGGGATCCTGTGATGGGGATGGTGGCGGGCAAGCCGAATGAGGGGTTGGTGGGAGTCGGCTGCCGGTAGCCCCGTGTGCTCTCAAGCATCCCGGCTAGGCTTTGGTACAAGCGGGGAGCCTGGTGGTTGTGTCCCGTCTCCCCCCCGCCCCCCGGGGAGTCAGAGCGGGTCCCTGCGGCAGCCTCACTGGGAAAGATGGGGTCGTGTGCATTGTGGGGAGGGAGGCCGGAGCCGCCGCCGCCGCCGCCGCCGCCGCCGCGCAGCAGCGCAATCGGCCGGCTAGTCCGTGGGGGGGGTGTGGCCCCTCAGTCCCGGGGCCGCCCCGGGGCCTGCAGGCTGTGAAAAGCCTGGCGGTTTTATTTTTTGCCAGGCCTGTGGCCGAGAACCAGCGTGTATGTCTTGATGGATCCATCTGTTGACTGTCCCTGCGGACCCGGCCTGGGGGCACAGCCCCGGAGGTTTCAAAATGGCATCCGCTCCACTGCTGCCGCGGGGAGGAAGAGAAGGGGCGGGAAGGGGCGGCGGCCCAGCCTCCTGGGCTGCTTCGCGTTGGGCGCTCGCCTCTTCCTGTCTCTGCTGCGAGTGCGGCGAGCAGTGAGTGGGTGTCGACGCGGCGGCGGCGGCGGAATGTCCGTTGCTGCTGGGCCTACGGAGGGCACTTCCGGGACCGCTAGCTCCCCGTGCCCAGCCTGGAGCCCCTTCCCAGCCCCTCCCAGGTTTATTGCAGTTGTTGTGGTAGCTAAGGAGATGTGGGTCCGGACCAGAGGGCCGGCGGAAAGGGGGTGGGTTGCACAGGACTCCTGGCCTGTTCTGTAACACAAGGCTCGCTCTAGCCTGACAGGCTCCCTTGCCTCTCAGAGCCCAGCTCAGCTTTCCGGACAGGCTAGGTGGGACCCGGTATCCCTTCCTACACTAGACTGGTACAGGATCTGGCTTAGCACTTTATCGTGGGAACAGCCTATCCCAGGATCCTGTCCCTCTGGCCTTGCCTTCCTCCGAAAGGGAATTCCTGACTTGTGGCAGAGGAGTACCCACCGTGAGACTAAGACCCTGCAAAGGGGATGCGGCCAAGGGCTGAGGGCTCTGCCTGAAATGGACAGCCCGGTCTGCATGCCCACTCTGTCACTGCTCCCTGAGAAGGGGTCCTGGCTTGAGTCATTCCCTTCCTCATGGAGGAATAAGGTGGCCATGGGATTCCCGCTGTAGCAGGTTCAGAATTCCGGGCACCAGTGCCTCGTAGCCAGAGACTCTGTCCAGGCAACGGGGACTTAGGCTGGGCAAGTGCCAATCTTCCCTCCCAGCCAGAACCACGCCTGCTGCCCCACCCGCACACTGTCTCCCTCCATACCCTGTATCCCTGCCAGCAGGCGGGCACAGTCACTGTCACCAGGGCAGAGGCAGATGTGGTACACACTAGCAAGATAGTTTCCCCTGGCAGCTTAGTGGGACCAGTCGAGAAACTGATGCCAGTCTTACTGCAGGGGAACCCCCCAAAGCCCCCCCCCCCCCCCCCCCCCCCCCCCCGCCCAGTTTAACCTGACTGACTAGCTAGGCCCAGGTGGACTTTGGTGCTCTGGTGACAGCCTGAGCTGGACACACCAGGAGAAACAATGTCCACTGTGGGCTCCACAAAGGCTCAGAGCATAGATGCTGCGCTCTGTCTCACCACAGGACTTTGTAACTTTGCTACTTGATTGCTCTTTAATATTCCATTCATAGATCTCCCAGAATCCTCCCTGGAGTCCCACCAAGGCTGATGCACCATCTCTGCTCCCTGGGTTCCCGCTTTTCCCACTAGAACATGCTCTTGGCCCTTGAGGCAGCAAGGCAGGGTTGTGTCCTTTTATTTGTGTGTTGAGTGAAGGATGTCCATGGTGAACTTGGTTTGGGGGATGGGTAGGTAGAGGTCACAGAATCACAATTTGGTGCACTGTGAGCTCATTGGCAGACCCAGTGACCAAGAGTGGCGGGATGCAGGTGCCTCAGAGATCGTCCGCACCATATCCATTGCAGATCTGCTGCCCAGCCCGCAGTCTGTCTTGGGGCACAGCACGCAGCAGGGGACCGTATGTGAGGGAGTGACTCTACAGTCTCACCTCACCTGTGTTGGGACAGCTGCCGAGATACAGCCAGGGACAGTTGAGCAGCTCCAGGGCTGCCTGAGAGCACTGGGCGGGCTCAGCCTTGAGCAACGCTGCAGGAGGTGTTCCAGGCTCCTTAGTGCAGCAGGTACTGCTCAAAGCCAGGCTTCGGCAGGGAAGGGAGTTTTGTGGCCTGTGGCCTGTCTGTGTGTCTAGCAAAAGGCAGGCATACTGTATTGGTGCATGTAAGTATGTGTGTGAACCACGAAGCTCTTGAACACATCCTGGAACGGGCCACAGCCCTTGGGGGTGAGGGACAATATATGAGGATGAGAGAATGAAAATAGAGTCCTGGGGCTGCCAGCTAGGAGACAGATGGGAGGGCTGGCCTAGGGTCCTGACTAGCTAGGCAATGGGACGGTTCTAGTGGGGACTGTGAAGGCAGGCTTTCTGGAGCAGTCCTTAGGTAGCTTGGAAAATGAACATCATTTACCCATGAGATGGCTCACCACTGGCCAATGCCGGGCACCAGGGCAGAGAAAACCAATTCAACAAAGGCACAGAGACAGGAGATGTGGCCTAAATTCCCCAGGCCCTGGTGGATGTTTCCTGGCCTGAGGCTGGAGGCTTACCCTGGCTGGACCACTCTGGGGGTCCTGTGGATATAAGTTAGAATCCTGGGGCTGGAGAGATGGCTCAGGGGTTACAAGTACTGACTGCTCTTCCAGAGAACCCGAGTTCAATTCCCAGCAACCACATGGCAGCTCACAACTGTCTATAACTCCAATTCCAGAGGATCCGACACCCTCACACAGACATACATGCAAGCAAAACACCAATGCACATAAAATAAAATTTAAAAAGTTAGAATCCTGGCTCCACCTTCTGCACTGCTTGAGGTGAAGAAGGCCTTCCAAGAGAGCTGTCCATCATGTACAACTCGGGCTGTGGGCATAGTGCACCAGAGCCTGGAGGTTTAAAAAGAACAACAGATGAGGGATCCTCTGCTATCTCTGACTGGGTACAGTATGGGGACCCTGGGGAACTCCCTTCCTGCCCCCAGGAAGTTCACAGCAAGTGGGAGGCCAGGGTTTGCAAAGAATTGATGTCGATGAAGTGACTGACTGTTCGAGGGACTTAAGGCCTAATCTCTGGGGGCCTAGCCTTGGGGGTGTGGTACAGCTCTGCAAGCCAGGTGGGCTGGTACACAGGCAGCCTCCCTCCCCTAACCCACTTCTCCCCTGCTGGAGCTCATTAGCACTTGAATGGGGGGCTGGTCTGCTTGGGCCTCAAAGTCTCTTCCCACCCCTCCCCCAGGCTGGGCAAGGCTTTGTCTGCCCAGGCGAGCCTGGATGAGCTCCCACGCTAGGGAGGGAGTGGGGGGGGGTGTCCAAGCCATTTCTAACCTCATCTGTCTGCATTTTGTCTAGCCCTGCCCTGCCCATCACTCCAGTACTGGTACAGCCAACATTAAAAGCTGCTCAATACCCTGGGCAGAGATAGGAATCAGTAGAGACTAGATATTTTAAGGGCTATTCCTGAACTGGTGAATCGGGACAGCTGAGCCAGGGGCATCCCTGGTGGTGGTGGTGGTGGTGGTGGTGGTGGTGGTGGTGGTGGTGGTGTCCTTTGAACATAGTTAGACAGGTGGCCATTACTGGGAATGAGCTGCTGCTGTGGCTGAAGGTGGCAGTCCAACCAGCTGAGGGCACACAGGCCTCTACACAAGAAGCTCTCAGGCAGCATCGAGCCACCCACTATGGTCAAGTCAGAGCCTAAGCTGTCGGATCCGGAGTGGGCATAGTCAGGGCTCGTTTGGGTCTGTGAAGCTTGTAGG